AGCTTAGCAAAGCACAGGGACCGCGGTTCAATCCCCCAGCACCACATGCCAGCCAGCCCCACCCCCTGGTGGGCTGAGCTGGCCACACACACACACACAAACAATTTTTTTAAAAAAAAACACAAAATAGGGTCAGAAGCAGTAAGAGTCTTTGGGGGATAGCTCTGTGTTCCCTGCTCTCATCCCATCCTTACTGGGAAATACAGCTGGTCTCAGGAAGCACTGTGTAGCCACAATGGTGGGTGACCTCGTCTAGCAGTTGCCACACAGCCTGCCCCTGGTAGGGCTGCGCTCTGGCTGGGGTTTGGAAGACAGTTCTCACCAGGCAGTCAGTACCCACAAAGGCTGCGGTGCTCTGCCACATCACATTCTGCCCCTGCCAGCGGGGAGCACTGGTATTCTTGCGCAGGTCTGTGTCGTTTTACTTCGTATGAATGAATGCATCCACAAGTAAGTGTTACTGCATGCATCTTTAACTATGTGAGGTATCAGTGTCCCTGTGTTGGTGTGTATAACACTTTTGGTGTAGAATTTGTTATTCAGGTGGTTACCAGTTTTTTTCTCAATTAAAAATATTCTATAAGGGGCTAGGGAGGTAGCTCAGCCATCTAAGCTCCTGCCTGGCAAAGGCAAGGACCAGAGTTCAATCCCCAGTACTACATGCTGTCCCCCAAACTGGGCATGGTGGCACACCCAGTGATCCCAGTGCTGGCAAGGCTGAGCTGCATAGCAAGACCTTGTACCAAATATATGAAAATTTTTAAAAATATATTCTACAGGGCCCTTACATGTGTGTGGCTTTCATGTGTGTGTATATGTATTTGTATATACACCTGTATAGGTGCACACATTTGTGGGGTTTTTTTTGTTTTTTTTATTTTTGGTGGTACCAGGGATTGACCTCTGGATCTTGGCACTTGCCAGGCAAGCACTTATTCCACTGAGCTATCTCCTGGCCCCTCATGGGATAACTTCTACAAAGTAGCAGTTCACCAATACTTGAGTTGCTTACTAGCATATGGTGTAACCAGACTCACGTCCAACGAGTGCCAGATTTGAACACTAGTATAAATGTCTATTTTAATTAAGCATACACAGGTTTATAAGTACTAGTGAAGGTTGCCACTTCGCTTATTCATATACTTTTCCTATTGTTTCCAGTTTTATTTGTAGGACTTCTGTATATGTTCTGGAGAGTAAACCTTTTGTCACGATGTGTATCTTTTCCTAGCTTATAGCTTACCTTTCTCTTCTTTGTAGTATATTTTGACTTGTCCAGTTATGTATCACTTACTTGCTAAAGTTTGTGTCTTATTTAAAAATCTTTCCCAGGGGCCAGCCAGATAACTCAGATTAAACCACGTGCTTAAGAAGAGCATAGCGGCTGGGGTTTGATCCCCGATGCTCCATGCCAGCCCTGCCCCCAGGGACAGAAAGGTGATTGAGACTGGGTGTGACGGTGCACACCTGTAATCCCAGCACTTGGGAGGCTAAAAACAGGAGGATCACTATGAGTCTTATCTGTACCGTAAGACCAAGGTATAATATACGTAACTCCTCATTTTGACTATTAAAGCATTGTTTTTCATACTCAGCTCTTAAACCACATGGAATTGATAACTTGAGTCCCTACCAATTCTTGTTGCCCAAATCATTAAATTTACAGTAGGTGACGTGTCCTTCCTTCAAGGACACCTCACCTCTGTAGTCAGCCTTACTGGAACATCAAGGTGCCTGTGGACAGGCCATTGGTTAACCCCATCTAGTCACTGTTCACACCTGATCTGACTCTGCAACAAGTTATGTAATCAGTTTTTTCCAGTACCAGGAATCAAACTTAAGGCCTTGCACTTGACCGAGCTATATCCCTAGCTCCTATTACTTTTCTCCTAGGATCATTACCTATTACTACCTGTATCACTGTTTGAACTTTTTTTTTTAATATTTTATTTGGTACAGGATCTTATTACACAGCTTGGACTTGTAGATTCTCCTGTTTCAACCTCCACAATGCTGAGATTACTGGCAGGCACCACCATGCTTGGTTTTGGGGCCAGCATGGCATGCAATACTGGGAATCGAACTGAGGTCCTTGCATTTGCCAGGCAGGTGCTTAGACCGCTGAGCTATCTACCCATCCCTGTTTGAACTCTTTGAATTCATTCATTTTGATAATGCTTGTGAGCCCCAAGGAAGATTTTTGAGGGTGAGGTCCCAAAGTTAAAGAACACATGTGCAATAGCAGGCAGCATATAGCAGAGCACAAGAGAGCCACCTGCATCTTTGTAATTCTTACACAAGTCATCTCATTTACATTCTTACATGTGTTTACCTGTACTGTCATGGTTATGTAACTGTATCCCACTGTGCACCCATGCTAGTCAAGCGGGGTCACATCTTCAGATGTTCTTAGACACCCCTCTAAGCTTTGAAGCTGTCTGTGTGGTTCCCCACAGCACTGTAGATGGTTGTATCAACTGAACATAGTACTGTTTTGGCTAGAGTGACAGTCTCTTATTCCTTGAGTATCTTTCCATGCAAGTGTGTGTTCTGTGGCTAAGGGGATAGCTGGGATATACTGCTTGGTTTTCATAACCATCTCCAACCAAAACCACATTTTTTAAAAATGTATTTTAGTACAGGGTCTATAGGATCTCACTATGTAGACTGGACTCCTAGTGTTCCACCTATTTTCAGCCTATGAGCTGGGATTACAGGCCCGCACCACCACACCCACTCTCAATCACCATCTCATCAAACCCTGGGGATGGGGTCAGTACGGCAGGCTGGGGATTGAACCCTGGCTGCTGTGCCCTGCCTAAGCAGGCACTTTCATCCACTGAGCTATCTGGCAGGCCTCAAAAACACGTTATTTTAAAATCCTATGCACAATTTATCATAGAATAATACATTACTTTAAGAAACAGGAGAAGTGAATTATACATTCATTTATATTTCACAAATATAAAAATGAAGATTTTCTAGTCAGCTTTTATTTTAGAATCCACCTTTGCCATTTAAACACAGAGCATGTATAAATTAAACAGAATCCACAGGAAAGGTACATGTTTTAAAAAGGAAAATTGGGTAGTGTGAGTTCTGGATTGGTCGTTAACAGAGCATTACAGTTGTGTGTCCATGAGGACATTCCCATCTTTGTCCTTAATTCTTATGCGACCAGATGCGTACTTTGTCTCTTGATGACCATTTGCATATACAGTTTTGACAGTGCCATCTGGATATTCCCGTCTCTTGAACTGCGTAGTATGAAGTTCTCTTTGGCCATTATTAAATTCTATGATTTTGTTGCCATCACTGTAAAATTTAAAAGAGAATTTCATTCCTTAAAATATGTATATCAGGGCTGGTAGCACACACTTGTAACGCGGCACTCAGAAGGCTGAGGCTGGAGGACCACCATGAGTTTGCGGCCAGCCTGGGGATGGACATAAGCAAGTTCAAGGCCAGGCTGCACTACATAGGGAGAAGCCCGTTTCAAAAAGTACATATGAGGGCTGGTGAGATGGCTTAGTGGTCTAAAGCACCTACTTAGAACAAGCTAAGCTAATCAAAAGCACAGGGACCTCAGTTCAATCCCCAGCACCACATGC